GCTGAGGCGCTTCTCCAGTTCTGAGACTTGCCGCAAATTTAACGCCGATCAAAGCCGATTTGTCTTTGAGTCGTTTAAAGCTATCAGGCTTGTGTGAATTGTGGTGTTTCGATGTCGCAACATTATATTTGTTTCAGAGGCCTTCTCGGTCTGTAAATAGATGGGATGCCTTGCTCTACATTCACGCCCTCCCTCTAACCACAGCAAACCACAACCTCAGCATTGTGTTCGTGCTTCATAGCACATTTCTACCTTAGTACTATATCTCTTTCTTTTCCCCTCTCTCTCTCGTTCTCTCTGCGCATGTCGGATGAACATGAGTTTGCATGCTGTTAACTGAGAACCGCAAAGTAAAATCATTTCAGAAATTTGTTTCATGAAGCTCTGCTCATTTCTGTGATTCATAATGTAGTTAATGAACAACCAGAATACGAGAAAATCAATCAATCAAGTTCAACTGGGTGGCGCATTGCAGCGATAAAGTGGTTCAAAGTGCTCTGTGTCATAAAAACACAAGAATAAGAAGTCATAAAAAGTCCAAGATTGACTTTTTATGTATTTGTCATCACGACGCGACAAATATTTTGATCAGTGTTTGATTTGTTATGGTTCAAAAGAAACTCTAAGCCAGTGGGAGTTTTTAGCCTTTCGGCTGTTCTGCAGTTTTCGGGACGTTTCTTCCAGATTTGTGCTGCACAGAAGTCAGACGCAGATTCCAATCAACCAAAGACGGACATTTTGCAGTTTTTCTTAATCGCGTTCATGCAGCTGCCAACTCAAGTTTCCCATTTTTCAAAACCGGCGAGACGCAGACAGTAACGGAGGACAGTAATGCGTTTTGTTGGCAGAAGGCTTTAACCGCGCCGAATCGTTTAAACACAAGAAACGGAAGCAGATATTTCGTTCAAATAACACGACGTGCAGCAAAGTGTCTGAGCTGCTCTGGTCAGTCGTTGCACCGTGGAAACATGTTGCATTGTGTTCAGTCCATTTTCTATGTTTCCACAGAGACGGAAAAATTGAATCTAGAATCAGAAATGCTTCGATGCAAATTCAATTGATTTCAGGACATTTTTTTCTTTCCCAACTTCAATGCTGCACATATTCCAGTAATTATCCAAATAAAAATAAATAAAGGCTTGAAATGTGTTATAAAAAAGAAGAAGTTTCATTTTTAGAACTGAATCACTGAAACAGACGAACCCTTTGAAGATATCTGGATTTACTCAAAACTTTAGACAAAACTGAACCCAATTCAAATCCTTATTTTTGTCACTTGCATCCAGACACAATTGCACAACTTGTTGTTGAAAAGGCTGATCCACAGAATGTTTATAATGTTGGTCTTTTCACATTATTTCCTGCTTGGTTTTCCACCTGTTTGCTTATCTCTTTCACCCACTTTAACCTGGACTGGACCGAACAGAAGTTCCTTGAGACATTTATTCAGTCAAATCTCTAGCATATTGAAACGTGGCGTCCTTCGTCTCATCCTCCCAGACAGCGTTCGTCTACAGCACCGTAATCTGACCTTTGATAAGTGCAGGAAGAATAGACGCTGGCATGTGATGAATGCAAGTTCCTCCAGAGCGACGGTAAGTGAATCATTTGTGTTTAGAAAAAAAGACTCCAAAAACCAGTTGGGTGAGAGGCAGCAAGTGAGACTGGAAGTAAAATAGGAAACAAACAGAGACACAACGCAACATGAGGTATAAACTACTGATATTCAGAAGATAATGACACCATAGACACAGATAGATAAAGAAATCGTGCTCAAGTGTTCAAAAGTACCAGTATCTTGGGCCGAACAGTAAATAACTAAATGAGAAAACTTTGCAGGTAAAAATCTGGGAAGTGTAATTTGTTTTCTCCATTTTTCGCTTCAACCACTAGATTTCTCCATCTGACTGAAATATTTCTTCCTATTCTTCTAAGCAAACCAGCTCAAGCCCTGGGAAGCTGCCCAAAATGATCAGCAACAGTCAATCTGAAGTCTTGCAACTGATTTTCAATCGAATTTAGGTCTGGACTTTGACTCTAAAACATAAGCATTCCTCCATCTGGACCCATTTCATTACAGCACTGGCTGTAAGTTTCGGGTCATTGCCTCGGTCTCGGGTTTGGTGCAGCCTCTTAAACTTTTATTTTTTATTTTCTTACAAGCCTTATTCCATATTTAGCTCCATCGATCTTCCTGTCAACCCGGAACAGCTTCCCTGCTACTGCTAAAGAAAAGTATCCTCACCGCTGCCACCATTCTTTTGTGTTGGTGTGTTCTGTGGTTCTTTTCTTTTTATTTTGTCCAACATTCATTGCACTTTTGATGCACCAGAACTGTGGATTTGCTGAAGCAGGACCAGGACTTTCGTGTGACTCTTAAGACGCATGGCCGACCCCGCGGGACATTAGCACTATGATGCAAAGACTCCAGTAGGTAGAAACAAAGGTTAATATTGTGCAAAGGAATGCCGAGGTCAGCGTGGCCGACCCTGAGCCAAAACCCACCTTCAACTTCAACACCTGCTCCGCCAAAGGAAAATAAACAAGCAGCTGGAACCAAAGCGGCTCCTCCAACGCCGCTCCCAACAACAAGGCGACCAGCCTGAGCCTCTGTGGGAATCCCTCTGAGAAACACTTGGAAAGGAAGCTCAGAGAGAAACCTCGCCTTCAAAACATCAGCAGTGGCCAACACATCCCGGCCCAGGAAAATGAGAAATATGCCAAATGGGTTTATTGTCTTAGATGAGGCAATAAATGGATTCGGTCCCTTTTGCGATGCCAGAAAAACGAGACCGACACGATATCTGATCTAACTCACCAAACACGCTTTCTAACCACTGACCAGCCAAGCTAACGATCGGGCAAAACAAAGACCAGAGATTCTGAAGGAGGACTTTACTATTCTTTTGACATGTATTGATAAAATGAAAACTGAAGCTATGGCTCAGTGGTCCAACTCCATCACCTCGACGGGGAGACGAAAAACACGGTAAAGAAGCGGCTGATTAAAACTCGTCTTGGTGCTCACGTGGCTAACCTCACTTCATTCACCCGCCTGCCTCCGACTCCCCAGAGGATCCTACAAATCAACCCAACAGCTGCAGCTGGTCCAGAACGCTGCTGCTCGCGTTCTCACCGAAACCAGAAAGAACCAGTTCAAAGGCCCCACACTGGCGCCCTCAGAGAATAGACTTTAAAATACTGACGTTAGTTTATGAATCACTCAACGGTTTAGCACCACGACACATCAGAGATCTGCTATTGTTGCCTCATCAGTTCAAGAACACTCAGGTCTTCTGGTTCTGGTCTGCCCTCCATCCCCAGTCTCAAAGAGGAGAAGCAGAAAATCTCATTAAAACACATTCAGTGTGAAAAACCAAAGCAGCTCAAGACATCAGCTTGAAAGTGAGAGTCTTCGAAAGGGAAATGGTGTGAGGATTGATCTCAGTCCTATGCATGTGTGTGTGTGTGTGTGTGTGTGTGTGTGTGTGTGTGAGCAAGACAGGCTACAAACCTTGCACCAGTTCTGTCAGAATGAATAGCCCAAATTCCAGCGGGCTACTGGGAGAATCTCGCTGAAGAAAACCCAAACCGTCTGACCGAGACGCCCTCAGCAGGATCACTGGAAAAACAACTGACAGTGATTTTTTTTTTCCTTACTAACCCTGTGATACATGTATGAATTTTAACTGATTTCTTGAAGAGGACCTCGGGTCTGTCGTCTTGTCGACATTTAACCCGCTGCTTTCTCAGACTGAAACTGGGACGTTTATTTGATGTATTTGAGAGTCACTCTTATTGCTTTTGGAGACGTTATTAGTGAAAATTGCAATGACCTCAGCTGTCACATATGCACATTTTCTTCTTTCTTCTCATTCTCATCGTTGCTTCTGTGACCTTTGACCTGTTTGGCCATTTTATTTATGTCCGACAGCAGCTGGAAGAGATCAACTGACAACGATTTCCCTTCTGATAATCCTTTGCAATAAGAATAATGCGATGTTGCGATGAAACGCCCCGCCGCTCCTGAGTCGCTGGTTTTCCGCTATTTTTAAGCTAATTGGACATTTAGTTTTACATGCACCGCACACAGCGGCGATGTGAAGAATGAAACCTTCAGCATGCTGCTCCCGCAAACGCATAAAAAATGTGGCAAGCACTTCTCATGAAGAAATAAAAAAATAATAATAATACTTTGATCAGACCACAAAGAAGCTGCCTGCAATAAAACCGAACAGCAGTGAACGGGCGCAATTCATGCATCCATATTCAAGCGTTTTTACACGTTAAACTGCAACATTTTACCGTGATCACCTGGCTTCAACTGTGGAAAAAGAAAACCCACCTCATTGTGTAGCATTTTATGACTTTTAAATGTTTTACAGAGTGCCAGCTTAATGAGCTAATAAAATCACTTTAAATAACCTGCCCTTCAGAAGATAAATTACCTCGCCGCTTTTGCCCACAGCCCTCTTAGCGTGACTCAAGGCAATCTGGAAATCTCCCCTTGTAAGACTCTTTAGGTGTGAACGACTGAGAGGAATGTTGTCAGACACTACAAAACGCCTTAGAGAGTGAGTGTTGAAAGCGCGTGGACCGGCTGGCGGAGATTGGATCACATTCCTGGATGGTTTTAAATAGCGAGAGTTTTGTTTAATTTGCACATACGTATTTGCATCAGTCGGCACCTTTTACCCGCTAAACCCTGTTAAAGTTTCTTCCTTGGCAAGTAGAAGGCACTATTAGCATTAAAGAAAGAAACCCAAAAAACTTGTATTTTTCATACAAGACTTCATTTGTGTTTTTGTGTGTGTGTAAGGCTATTGCTTTAAACTGTATTAAGGCTATTGCTTTAAACTGTATTCATAGTCCTGCTATTCAGTAATACAGTATGTTCAGCATTTCTTTACATCTTCATCAGAAACAAATGTACATTTCAGATCATCCAAGTGCTGATTGTTGGTTAATCTGATTAGAATAATCCTAGTAACACTTCAGAATTGACTGAGATAATTTATTCATAGTTAACATTGTGCAATCTAAGGCTTCAATAATAATTTAATCACGTTTAAATGCTTTCAAAGCATTGGAAATCTTTGGAAACAGATGTTCCATCGAAGCTCAAAGTCTTTTATGAAGCATTTTCAAAAGTTATAAAGAGTTACAAAGTCCACAGTGACATAGTAAGTAGCTGGTCCCTGAACTTGATTGTAGACATAGATTTTCTCTCCTTTATTTAACAACGTATGCCTGAGGTTCCTAGATTTCTACAGAAAGAAATCTATCATCCAAGGAGAAAGGATGGAGTGTTTCAAAACAAAAGAATGCAGTAAAGTACAGAAGGTAGACAAAAATAACTAACACAATCCTGTTGTATGCATATTTGTGGGTGTCCGGTCAGACCGTCAGTTCCCGGAACCACACAATAAAAAAACCTTCATAAAAGATCCATTGGACCACACCTAGTGTGGTCCAATGGATTCTGTCTCTTAAGATTGCGGAGCAGTTAAAAGAAATGTCAACAGCCAGCATTTTAGCTAACCTTTTGGGCAAGTCAAAGCTCTCCCATTTTGAAACAACTTCTGCTTCTCCTCCAGTATCTCCTCAAGGCACTGAAGAAGAACGGGATCCACTTTGGGATCAAACTTGTTGGCAAACCAGTGACCGTAGTTGAGCAGCCAGTGCAGTTCGGCCGCACCAAAAATGCAAACGCTGCGCACGTGTTGCCCCGTGCACGGAGGGTAAAGGTTCTCCTCCAGGTACTGCCACTTCACAAGCCTCGTCTTGCTCATCAGGTCTGTGATGTCGGGCTGGACCCTGGGCACCTCCCCGGGAATGCCCGGCAGTCGCACAAGCGTGGCCCAGAAGTGCTCGTCCGGAGAGTAGGTGTCCTCCGACCAGGCCAGGAAGTCCCTCACTACAGGGGATGAGTTTATGAACCCGACAAACTCTCGCGATAACACAAAGTAGGCATTGCCGATGAACATCTGTATGTTGTGCGGCGGTGGAGTCTTTGTCTGCTGTGTTTTTACCGGAAGTTTCTTATACTCAAAAGTGGCGTCCTGCAGCTCGTAGTGGTACAGGTACCGTTGCTTCTTGAGCTCACTAGGTCGACTTGTCTCCAACATGCTGGAGCCTCTCAACCTCCTCAGCTCTGACACCAGCTCCATGTTGGACTTAAGTGGGAAGTCCTGGCCGCAAAGGTTGATGACGTACTTCCACTTGACCTCTGACGTCAGAAGGTCCGACAGGCAGTTGAGGTCGGCCTTTAGGCGGCTGAAGCTCGCGTAGAAAACGGTCTCGCGTTTGCTGGAGACGAAGACGTTAGGCAGGCAGCGGGACAAACCCTCCATGGCGGCGGCAAACTGAGCCGTTGACTTCTGATCGTAGTGTATGCAGTAGATGTTGTTGGGAGAGTACACCGCCCTGAGGAGTCTCTCCACCATCCACGCATTTTTATGTACAACCATAGAGTACGCAATGGGAAAATCCTTCTCTTCCTCAGAAACACACAAATCGTCATAACCCCTGATCTTCGTGAAGACGGGGCAATTTTCTGTAAAGTTGGTCAGACTTTCGTCTTTATCTTCCGCCACAGTTTTCCTTCTGACGATGAGGGATTTGCCCACTTCTACCGGGTCCATGTCATAAATAGCTTTGCAGTTGATGTTGTGCTTGACAAGTGACTGAATGGCCGGAGCGCGATGATCCAGGGACTCAAGGATGTAGATGTACTTGACGCTGACCAGCAGCAGGAAAATTAACGTCAGCACGGAGAAGTGGTGGGGGATGAACTTTTTCCTGAGCTTCAGCATGAACCGCTTTGCATTCATCCTGTGGGGAAACAAAACAAAACAAAAGAAACACATTTGAGGAACAGAAACCAGTCATATTTTTGATGAAAAAAAAAAAAAAAACAAACATCTGAAGCAAACCCTGACTGTGAAATTTGTTTTGGGGTCCAATGCGAGCTGAACATTTGCAACACGAGTCAGTGAAGTTTTAAGCAGGGCCACGTTTCACCCGCTGCACCAGCCTCTCTGTTACTCAGACTCTGTTTGGGTTTGGTATCCAAGGGGTGATTGGATTTCGTTTCAATAGCACATTTCTTCACCTTTTTTAGAAGCCCTGCCGTAAACGTCCTTCAATCAATCATTAATGCCGACAAGTCTCCACCGGGCTGGAGAGAGCTCTGCCTGTCTTTAGCTGAAATTTGAAACGTTTCCTACATGAGACGTCCAGATGGCCAACTCAAGGCTGCAATGCCCAATTTTCAGACAGATTCAGCAGTAGATTATGGCTGGCCGGTCTCCTCAATTTTTTATTTATAGCAAATTTTTTTTCTTTTTTTTTAAAAAAAGGATACAATTTATATTGAAATTTGGGGTGTAATGCCATTCCCCAGGTCTTGCAGTGATTTTCAGACTTCACAGTTTTCAGCAGTGAAAAAAAAAACAATACCAGAGTCAAGGAGTGTTGGCAAAAATCATGTCAACGTGATTCTTGCCAAGTGAAATCTCTCCTGCAAAGGTCAGCCCAGACTCTGTCAGTATGTAATTTTTAAATTTAGCTTAGCATTATGAAACCGGAAGATGACTGTTTCTATTGCGACACCCTGCGTCTGTGTTTGGGTCTTAATTTGAAAGCACAAAAGGAAGTAAGTCTCAGTGCTGACAAATCAGGTGAATGAGGACATGAGGACATCCTTGGCTAGCAACGCTTGTCCACAAAAACTTTGAAAGATGTTCGACAACACTGTGAACACTAAGTAGTGTTTGAACTGATCGAACCTAAACCTGATACATCTACACTTTAACACACCAGTTTTAGAAAGTCAATTAAACGAAGGTAAAATGACACCAAAAATGCTTCATCTATTTGTAAGTGCTGTACTTTTTCAGAGGACAAATACCTTCATGACAACCTTTTTAGTTTACATTATATTCCAATAACTCTCATTCGAGTCTGAGTTAATTTGTTTTTAAACACACCCTGTAGATTATTTGAACAATGAACTCTATTCTCTGGAGCCCTTGTTTTAAAAAGAAGAACACAAAGCAAATGATGTGGCTGTTTCTGTTAGCAATCCGGTCCTGATTGGTCCAACAAGTCCAACAAGCTCAGCGAGACTGCAAGCTGAAATGACACATAACTTGAAAAATCATTTAGATTAGGGAGATTATAAAAACACAAGAAGGAGTTCAAGTGTCTAAGGAACCAGAGGAGCAGATGGCAGGTGATAAACAACAGCTGGGGAACGGAGTAGGTAAAAGCAAAATGAGGTCATTTTTAGCAGGTCATTATTAGCAAGCTTAGCATTTAAGCTTGGTTTCATTCCTGTGAGCCCTCAGCTCTGCGTTGCTTGGCCCAACCACTAAATCAAACTGCTGATCTTTATTTTTGTCTGGTTCAAGGCAACTTCCTTCTCTTCAAAGTCAAACCAGTTTCAGTGTTTCGCCTCTTCTCACGGTTGTGGCCGTACGTGGTGAATGATTAACTCGGTTCTTTCTGGGTCCAAACAAATTTTTCGCGCACCACAAAGTATTCGGTGTTTGCCGCGGAGGAATCCGTCCTCTATCTTTTCCGGTGTCCGGCGTTCCGTTTTCCCTCCGTCTAATTGGAGTCATTTTTTAAAAAAATGACAAAGAACCTTGTGGATTGTAACCCTAACCCTAAAATCTGAGACCATAAAGACGGAGCGGAGGGAGAATGCTGCCCGGCAGGTTTTTCTCACAAGATTCACCAACATACTGGAGCTGATGGCAGGACAAACTCACCCACACCCATTTCCTGGGAGACATTCGTATTGCTGCAATGCATTTGGGAACCCTAACTAACTAAAATTGGGCCGCTGCCTGGACTCAGCGGGGCCCAGCGCTGGCACACACAAAAACACAACGGGGCTTGGCGGCTGTGCTCAGGTAGTGCATCTCCAAGACTCGCAGCATGAGACGTGACTCCAGATGCACTGAAATGTGAAATGAGACCTTACGACCCAACAGATTTGACACATCTACTCATCTGCCCACTTCCGTCCAATCAACCAACAAAATACAGCATATGAGAGGCAAACGGATGGCTCGCTTACAGGAGGTCAGGAGATAAGGTGTTGTGGCACAATGTGAAATGTGGGTTTCTTTCCTGTGACTTCAATGCCAGGCCTGAGGCAGGTGTCCTCCAGAAAAATAACTGGGTTGACATAAAAGTAAAATGTAAAGCAAGGAAGCTCAGAAACCTTCTGTAATCTTTCAAGTGTGGCTTTTAAACTTTATAGGAGCGAATTACGCTAAGGTGGTGGAAAACTCTGCTTAGGTTTGAATGTGGAAAAGGTGAGTGGATTAAAAACGCTGCGGCATGAAAATCGCTTGGCCACAACAGATTTACTCTGTTCTTGTTTTTAGTTTTTTTGTCATACTTATTTGTTTCAGATAATCAAGCAAATTTTAAGATCAGACAAAGACGACCGGACAAAATTCAAAAAGCAGTTTGAGAATAATGATTTAATTTATCAGGAAAGAAAACCCATTCCAACCAATCTGACCTTTTGAGGGGGAAAAAAAAAACAAAACAAAAACTAATGGACTCCCTTGGTAATTACGGTTATTGTTTAACCACAGTTTTGGGAGGAAGTGATCATTTTACTAGCTATCCCTACGTTACGTTAAGAAAAATGTCATAATGATCTGACAAAAATGAATAAATAAAATCAAGAATTCAACAGAAGCAAAGTCATTGGGGTCACAAACCATTTCTAAAACTTTGAAAAGCCACTGAACCCCAACGAGAGCCGTCATCCACACCTGGAGAAAACGTGGGACAGTGGTCAACTTTCCCATGGCGGCCTAAAGAAATGACTCAAAGACTGTATTGAGAACTCATCCGGGATGTTACGAGCACAGCTGACCTTACTTGACCTTACATTTAGGGTCAAAATTCATGGTTCAACAATAAGGTGCAAGCAAGCCAAAAAAAGTGAGTTGAAGGAGAGTTCCAAGGCTGACCAATAAGAAGAGAAAGGCCAACATTTGATCCACAAGAGTTTAGGGCAAAATATTCTGTGATCATTATCTAGGCAATAATACTCTGCAGATGTTCTGTCTGATGATAAAAGCATGAATTCTGCTCTCGACCAAAACACACTCGGGTTCATGTAAGAGAAATGAACTTTAACTTGAATTAAAGTAATTCTGCAAAAAGAAAAATCGGAGTAAATGACAATCACCTGAACTTGATGTCAGGATTTGATTGGTCGACAAAATAGCCAACCAGAAGCTCGTGTTGGTTGAAAGCACAAAGTTTCAGCCAACACTTCAAACTGAGTTTCGTAAGTTCAGTTTGTGGTGGATGACGTCACAATGGTGTTAGTATGCATCGTGAATCAGTGAATATTGGTTTAACAGCAATAACAGCAATAAAACAGCTTCGTTCACTTCCTCTGCTGCCAATCACCAAGCCACAGCCATTTGTGCAAACAACCCGGAGCATCAACGCCATCATTCGCAGCTTCTCCTTCTATTCGCTGAATTGCTAGGATGAAATGCATCGGAATGGGACAAATCCCAGATGGCCTATTTAGTAGTGGGACAATATATCTATTTTTTAAATATCTATCCACGTTCTTCTGTAATGAACTATCCAGGAAGCTTTAATAAAGAAAGCTGAACCATCCTGACTGTGCATTCTTGCCGACGCCTCTTGGTGACCACAAATATTAAAGCTACGTAATTAGCTCTTCACCAGAACTGCCCCCAAGGGCGGCACTACCAGTTATTAGGTTCAGGGGTAAATCCCTTTTTTTGTTGTTTTATTTTTACACGGGGCCAGGTGGGTTTTGGTTCGCTTTCTTCTCTTCATAAACAAATTTGTCATTTAAAAACTACCTTTTCCTTTTTTTTTTAATTGACTCGAGTTATAGTTGACTGAGATTAAAACTTTGTTTGACCGTTAGGACAAAACTTTAATGTGGCAACAGAGAAACAGAAGACATTTGTGAGAGGGAAAACACTTTTCACAGCACAGTGTGCGGCGCCCAGAGCACGCAGTCCCAGTTAGCAGGTGCACTCTCAGCAGACAGTGATATGAAAATCAGTAGATACCGGGAGATTACGTGCCTTGCCAATCGACATGTGGTGAGGGAAACTGGAATCGAACTTGCGTTTCCACTGAGCTCCAGCCAATCTCTTACTTATTAATGCCAATAAAAGAAAACTAACTTTTTCAAATATAGGTCAGAAAGGTAATAAAATCTCTACTACTCACCTGAGAACATGGAAAACCTTCAAACATTTCAATCAATGCCGTTACGCAACTGAAGTGAAAAATTATGCAAACCTGTTTAGGCAAGGGATGACTAAAGGCTTAAAACAGCGTCAGTATTTTTCTCACAAAGCTGTCAAAGAAGACTGGAGTATAACACAACTGCAAACCTGCCCAGACATGAGCGTGTGTTTAATATAAAACACCGAAGAGGCCCCTGGTAACACTGGAAGAAATGCAGCTCAGACAGACGAATCTGTTGACAAGACAACTGACTCCACAATTCCTGCCCTTAAGAAAATAGCAAAGGTGTCGCAATATGAAATAAATATCGCGGCTTTGAGAATCTGACGATACTGATATTGACCCACAACGATATCGGCGTGAATCATGCACACTTTTCACTACGTGTTTTTTCATGTGGAATGATGGAAAAAGTTTGATCAAGTGATATTATCCAACCAGAGAACAACAGTCGACAACGACGGACCAGAGCAGAGTGCTGCTTATATCAGAGATTCTACATGTAGACATAAATAATCCGAAACTCATTTTTTCGGTTGATATCGGATCGATTTTTATATCGACACCAGATCGGGGCAACTCCAAAAATAGCTGTAAGAAGAGAGTCTCATAGTTGAACAAACAAATGGAAGAAGGCAGACTGATCAAATAAGACACACTGACACTGGACGTCTCCGTGTTCACACCATCCACATGCTGAGACATGGTGATCGCACTGTGATGTTGAGGGAATGTTTTCTTCAATGGTGAGAAAGAAGCTGCTCAGAGCTGATGGAAAGTTGGAACCGACTAAGGAATTGAAACTGGGGTCAAAATTCATCTCCTACTGATACAACGTCCCTAAATAAACCCAGAGCGACAATGGAGCTCAAAGTCACAGTCGTTTGAAAGTGTCTGAGCTGAACTGAGAGTCAGAGACGTTAAAGTTGCAAGTTGTGTCCTCTGTCAATCCCATCTAAAAGGACTTGACAGATATTACAAAAGAAATAGCAAAGATTCTGGTCTCAGTGTGTTCATACCTCTGAACTTGCATTCTGCAAATGCAGGCTACAGTTTTCAGGGTTTTTTATTTTCTAAATAAACATAGTCACTTGCCAAATGATTCTCTGGTTTGTGTCCACCTGTCAAATGGGATCCCAGGAGAAAACTCCTCAGGTTTCGGTGGTGACGGGGAAAAAGTACGACTGCGTGACGACTTGTACTGGACTCCTGTTGCTCATTAGCGCGTCGAACTGTTTGTCCTCAGGCCACCGTCTCAACAGTTGCCTGAGTCTCTGGGGACGTGTTTTAATATAGACCACACATCCCTGTTAGTGAACTGTTGTCTCTGCCAGCTGAAGGTTACCAATTATTGACTTCTATGGAACACCAAGGATTGATATAAAAAAGAACAGAACTGACTCATAGTGATAATACTTTTTTGTTGTTTTACTTTTGTCAGACAAAAAAAAAAAAGTTTCTCTGTTTTCATCTAACAAAACACACCTGAGATTTTCCTTTTTTTGTTTGTTTGTTTGTTTTGGAAAAAAAATAAAACACCCACCTTGCTCCCGGGTCCCAGGCGCCACGTGAACCGCCTCATCAAGTCATCCTGAAAGTTTCAGAGTTGCCTCAAGCGGCTCCGGTGATTGTGAACTCTGACCCTTGGAGGATCGGATCTCACAACCCGAGCTCACCGACGTCGAGAAGACGCGGCCGCATCCTTTCTCCCTGCGCCCCTACGCTCTCTTTACGCGCAGAAAACTCCGCAAACGTCGTCCCGCCGCGTCACTGAGCCAAAAGAAACCTGACAAACAGCCTCTGAGCTGGAGATGAGAGGACTGCGTGTCCGCGAACCCGGAAAGAGGGAGGACCTTCAGCTGCACGCTGCGGGGAAGAAGAAGAAGAAGATGTTGCGCCTCCGTTTGCGTTCGCGGGGACCGACGGGATGATCAGATGCGCCCAGGCGTGAGCAAAAAGCGCCGATCAACAAGTGGAGTTTCTTGGAAGGAAGTTCCTGAAGTCACCCCACGAACCGGCTGAGGGAGACGAGTTGGTGTGACGCGCAGAGGAAACTCAAAAAAAAAAAAAAAAAAAAAGTTTTAAGGGAGGGGAGGTGGGCTGATGTTTGGATAAACCATAAAAGGAGCCAAGAGGTCTAAAGCAGAAAAGAAAAACAAGAAGAAACAATTGGAGACAATTTTAGTAGATGCGGGTAAAGGGAGGTGATCTGCACATGAAGGAGAGCTTCTGCTCTCAATGCGCTCATTGTCTCCGGTCCTGACTGCGTCTTTGTGTGAGGTGGAGGTGGGGGGGGGGGGGGAGAAACTGGAAACTTAACTGCAGACCCACAGGTATTTTATTATTGGCAATATTGTCTTACACACAGAGAGCAGCAGCACCAACCTTTTATTACCACACCTACACAGAATGTGATGTGCAAGTCGTTCATTTGCAGCGATTTAGTTCATAAGGAACCGATTGATCTGATTCTGATTCTGTCCATTTTTGGGGGGGGGGGTGGGAGGGTGCCCCTCCTCCTCGCAGCTACTGAAAACCACACATTCCCTTTCTCAAAATGTTATATGACATACATACATATAAATACAGAAATATTGTGATGGCGACTTTATAGCCCAACCAGGTGGACTTCGTGTTGACTCAGGTAGCCGCAGTAACATTTGTCATTTTGAAATGCTCAATTATTTGCCGCTAAGTACAACCGACTTCTTGTTTATTTGTTTCTAAACGGGCAGTCGTGTGCGATATTGTCTTTTCTGAGATGGTCATGTCGTCTAAAACATACCTGGAGCTTCAGAAAGAGCAGGAGCTTCTTAAAGAGACAAAGGCCCACATTCAATGTGCTGAATTACAAAGTCAACAATGTATTTTTTAAAGTCACATTTGCAATATCCAGTACTTTTATAACAACTGAAGGTGACAAAGTTACTTGATTGTGCTATAAATTGATGCCATGTGGCAGGAAAATGTGGAGGGAAGGAGGAAACGTTTCTAAAAACAGATTATAGATTCAACCATAAAAAGAAACGAAAGGCATGCTGCTTAGCTACAGCACACTGTTTGGAGGCAAAACAGCTCAGATCCCTCTGTGTTCAGAAACAACAGTCACACGACTCGGTCAAATCTAATGAGGGCAGCATGAGAGCGGAGAATCAGCTGAAAAGTTTTCACGTCCAAATGAAATCAATCTGCTGGAGGAAAATGGAGTCGCATCATCTGACTTGAGTTTAAGGGACCGAAAAACACACAACAGTGGCCCCCGGGTTTTTTCCTTTTTGTTGTTGGGGAAAAAAAAGTACAGAGCACATGAAAGTGCCTGAGTAAAAACAATCAAAACCAAAGCAGCAGAAATGAAAACACAGAACAGAACAGAAGGAGCTTTTATTGACCCGTTGTGTAACAACAGCTTTAGACACACAAAAATCACACAAAACATTCACGAAGTGTTTATTAATAAACAACCAGTCTTCTGTTAATATTGCCATGATGTCAAGAAAGAAAAAAAACCCAGAACTTGTGAACATTTTCACATCCTAGCAACTCTTCTACTGTCCTGGTTGTGTTTTGAATTTTAATGACATAAAAGAACAAAAAAAAAAAAAAAAAACCTCGACAGGTTAGCTGACTGTTATGCAAAAGCTCACGAGGTTTCAGTCTCGCTGCCAACCGACTGCTTCTCCTATCTAGAAAGAAGTCAGTAGTACATATGACCGATTCATGAAATCCAGTGGGAAAATGTTTCCTCAAGTCGTTTGCAGAAGGTTTGCCCCAAACAGGGAGAGAATTAGCTGTGAATTCCCACTGACATGAAACACATTTAACAGCAACGACTACTGGTGACGCTGAAGAGCAGCATCATCTTCTTTTGAGGAACCATCAACTCAGAAAATGTGAGCGTCCAATTCTCGGCGGGTTGAGTTCAGTGGCGCCCCAGAGACGGTTGGGTACGGTTAAATGATCGACCAGCGCTGACAAAACAATACTTAAAAGAAATGGCAAAACAAATCCACATGTTGGGTGGTGGGGGGTGGGAATCGGACAAATCCCCTGACATCAGAACTCACTTTTAAAACACAAAGGGTTTATTTTGTGCTTGCAGGTTCCGATTATTCAGAGACGTGCGAGGGTTGTGTTGTTCAGACAGAGAACAGCTAAGAGTTGGCTGCTTTGGTAATGAAGCGCAGCGTTTGTTTTTCCGCAGTTATCCAAGAGCTGACGTGCTTTAAATTAAAAAAATAAATAAATAAATGAAAACGAATAAACAGAATTAATGCAAAAAGTAGGTTTGGATTTCATTCACCAAGAAGGAGACGAAGAAAAAAAAAACACATCCAGAAAAATCTGTCCATTTGTGAAAAAGCCACAGACTCCGTCACACAACAATAAAGAACATTTGAAGCAGTGCAGGCCCAACAAAACAACACAACAGCACCGCAATTTCTTACTAGAGCATGTTGCCTTCTATAATTACTGACCATGTAAATAAATAAAAAAACATAAATAAAATAAAAAATATTATATATATATATATATATATATATATATATATATATATATATATATATATATATATATATATATATATATATATATATATATATATATATATATATATATATATATAAGCTCCCAGGCCTCTGGGAAAATTATGTGTAAATTAGAAATTATGTGTAATTTTCTTCCTTCTTCAAGTAGAAACTGGGGACTACACATCAAAATTCAGCCAAATTTACAAATTATTATCTCAAACCAAAATAGGATCAATGCATGTTTTTATATTAGAAACCAGTAATAACAAAAACAAACAGCAAAATTAAAAAACAACAAAAAAAACGGTTATTTTGTTTTAAAAAGCAAAAATATTAAATTTGAAAGTAAAATGTTTTTATTTTTTTTGTTCCGATATCATTGAGTTTTTTCGATGCACCTGGATATGTTTCATTTTCGTAATTGTTTTTTTTTTTTACATTCTTCTTTGTCATTTATTCTTTTTTCTTAATCAAGCTCTCCCACTCGCTTTGTTTTGTGTTTGAAAAAAAAAAACCATGTGGCAGAACACCTTCGAGGCAGAAATAAACAGCGCCTCCTACAGTCAGACTGTGGAACAATAAAAAGGAATATAAGAACCCTGACAATTGTTCGTTTTTCTCACCAGCAACTCTTGTTTTTATTATATATCGCATGAAAGACAAACAAACCAAATTCAATGTCTTCTTTATTTGTTTTTTGGCCGACAAAAGGCTCCAATTTCAATCTCTTAACTCAGAAATGAAATAGCTACTAGCACTTTTTTTTTTTTTTTTTTTTTTGTTTTTTCTCGATAAAAATTGCAACTAAAACTGTTTTAAGGGTGAAAATAAACAACTAATAAATAAATAAATAAATAAATTCGAAAAATGGTTGACGTACTTCCTGCCTCCCTCAGCGTCGCCGCGTCACGTCTCCGCGGTGACGACAGAATGAGGTCAGGAGTTCCGCGTCGCCATGTTGATTTTAATTACATCAGTCGAGCAGCAGAGCTGTCACAGCTATGAGAGAGACCCTCTGACCGCGGCACAACTCACCGTTTGAGGTACGTGGGAGCTCTAATGGCGCCGGACAGGAAGTTTTATGAGCGTTTCAGGCTGTAGGACGAGCTTCCCGCGGTACGAGGCTACGTTAGGTAAGTTCGGGTGTGACAGCTAATGTTGCTAAGGCTAACAGCAGACAGGTTTACAGAAAATAGACACAGTTCGCTGTTCGACTAAATAAAGAGGCGTGCGTACAGTGAAAGGAAAAGTTCTCCAGCCGCGTCCGTCGGCCATTTTTAAACCTTCCCATTAACTCCCCGCCGTTTGGTTGCAGGTGTGATATTGTCGCCCTTCAGATGAAGCTCCAGTAAGCAGGCATCTCGACATCCGCGATGCTGGCCCGTCTTTTCCGCCTCCACGGCCTGCTGGTGGCCTCCCATCCCTGGGAGGTGATCGTGGGGACCCTGGCCTTCACCGTCTGCCTCATGAACATGAACAGCTCGTCGAGCAGCAGCCAGATGTGCAGCTGGAACAACTGTCCCAAGGTTAAAGAGGTGAGGCGGCTGTGAACCCAGCATTTGGACAGACAGGAAGTTGTTTTCCTTCACGCTGACAAGAGGCAATATGTCCTGCTTTCTTTCAGGAGGCCCCCAGTAGTGACATAATCGTTCTGACCATCACTCGCTGCATGGCTATTATTTATATCTACTTCCAGTTTAAGAACCTCCTGCAGCTGGGATCCAAATATATTCTGGGTCAGTATGATGACAGACTGTGACCATGTTCTGGAATTACACCGCTCCATGTTGGAGTATCTCCATCACCTTCGTCCTGATTTGTTCTTTTTGTAGATTTTTGAATATTTTTGGGCATGTTTAAACAGCTTTACCCTCTGGATTATGTATGGTGGGGAACTGGAAGGATTTTTTTTGCTCTCTCTTTCTTTCTACGTTTAAACAGTTCTTATGATGTGTAACCGAGGGTAACAAGGTATTGTTTTTACAATCGGAAGCAACTTAGTAACGTTAAATACTGATTACTTCTGGAAAGCCTTCCTGCCCACAGCATCACCATTACACCACAACTCTTTAAAGATACTTGCGTGATGTGAGTTATGACAATATTCAACCGGGGATAAATAACGTATTTTTGAACTGAACTAAACGACTGGCTGCTGCTTGTCACACATCACAACACTAGTGCAGCAATCGTTTTGGGGGGGAAAAAGAAATGAACATCCATAAAATATCTAAACACATTTATTTTTGTTTGTTTCTGCAGGTATCGCTGGATTGTTTACAGTGTTTTCCAGCTTTGTTTTCAGTACAGTGGTCATCCACTTCTTCGGGAAAGAACTAACTGGTCTTAAGTAAGTGTTAGTTTTAGGCTATGCTTTAGAAAAGTGTTCATACGTCGAAGGAATCACGAACTTATAACTGGATGAGCTCAAAGCAGCAGATTATTGCAGAGTGGAAGGGAAACGATGCCTTGCTTTTAAATGTCCTTCTGTACAAAG